ATGCTTAGATTTGGTTTTTATCTTGTTTTAGGCTTTTCACTCATTTATATGTGTTTCAAACTGTTTCCAACTATAATTCTGGATTTCATCGAGTCTACTTTCGATTTGATACGTGAAAGTTGCAAGGTCATTGGGAGGAGGAAAGAAAACGTTCTACAGTTTTAGTTTTCATTTGAACAAACAGTATGATCAGGACTCAGACTTGTGCAACAATGACTCATTGGCATAAATTATTAATATTCTTCAGATGAATAAATTATTTTTTGAGCCACCCACAAAAACGCGTCATCTTTCCACCTTTATTCCAACCCTACACCAGCGTGACCCATCATAAAACTGATTGTCCACCACTCAGCTCCCCCTAGCACGCTGCAGGAGGTCTGGGTCAGGTCTCTTCCTTCTGGCCCCCGGTGAGGACCCCAGGATGGATCGGACCCCTCCCCTGGGACTGCAGACGCTGCTGCTGCACCTGCTGCCCTTTTACGCACGCACGCGTAAAATGGCTGTGGGCATCTCATTACCGCCTCTCCTTCCTCTGCCTCATCCTGGGAGACCTCTGCAGCTCCTTCTGCTGCGGGACCAGCTCTGTGAGAAACGTTTAGCAAATATTGATAGTTCTTGGCGCATTGAGGAGATCAAAGAAAGAAAGGCAGGAAAAAAAGACAAAGGGAGAATAAGTGTTGAGCAGTGCTATCATGAATGATTTATGCAATAATGCTTGGGAAAAATCATTTGGATTTYCTTGTGTCAGATTCTGAATGCTAAGTTTTTTTTCCTCCATTGACTCCCACAGTAATCTTACAAGTTTAAATTTTAATCAAGGGCTTTAAATGAATTTATTAATTGGGCCAGACTTGGACTAATGAGTGGTTAAATCAATGAAACGCAAAAGAAAGGAGTAAATGCTTCAAACCAAACATGTATGACACATCTTTAATAAGTTATTGATTCGTTTAAGATCAAATCTATCTCTAGTGTTAAATTTGTCATTAATGACATTACGAGTGTGCATATTTTACATTGAAACTAATTTCCCCCATTTTTTGGACAGGGACAATCCCTGCAAACCAAAGGTCCATCACCCCCCACAGACTCATCAGAGACAAATGGATCTTTATTGACTTGTTTTAATCAGTACCTCTGAACAGCAGCGACAGAAAAAGCGGTGAAAACACAAGCCTTGCTGCAGCAGCAGAGCTGTTAAATTTTTGCACGTGTGCCAGCAGGATGAAATTACTGAAGCCTAATGATTTTTACAGCCCCCCCACAGTTCCCCCAAAGACTGCAGGTGTGGCGAAATGACATTAAAAAGCAACAAAAGCAGGAAATGAATAATCGCACACTTGTTCCAACACTGTTCGGAGTCGGGCCTTCGGAGATGTTCCCCCTTTTYACAAAGATGGCAGCAAGTGTCCAACTGCCCAAGTGGTCCTAAACATTTCACAATTTTCTCAAAGAACTGTTGAACTGTTGAGAACCACTTGATCAGAATGACTGCTCACTTTTTCCTCTTGAGGTTTGTCCTCTTGTTGATCCCACTGTAGTAAAAAAAAAAACAAGAAAAAAAGCAGCTACAGTCAGAACCTGAGCAACTCTGGCTCATTAGACGACAGCAAATCCACACAGAAACAAGCAGTTTGAGGGTTTCTTTGAGTTTTTACCTGAAACGTTCTTCTTTCTCCTGCTGTAGTGTTTCTTGGTGTTATCCCTGCCAAGACTGTGTGACTGAGCAGGTTAGAGTGCCTTTATATACTGTTTGGGGACTAGGTTCATACAAGCCTCTCATTCAGAGAAGAATGAGGCCCGTTCTGGTTGGACCAGATGAGCCGGGTTCCTCCAGCGAGGAGCAGGACGGGGCAGCCACCCTCCTCACACACMGACAGCACAACACTGACAATTATAGGCTGACAAATCACATGAGCAAACGGAAATCTGCCCTATGAGTTTCTGATTATGAGGGATTTATTTTATAATCATGAAAGCTGATGTGGTTTKCTGTTCAATGAGCTTCTCTCCTATAAAGCTCTACAGGCTTCACAATGATCCTGTTAGTATTCGGAGCACATTTCTGGAGGAACACAAAGGAACCGAGCTCGGTGATGAAAATGACTTCCAACAGCTGGAAACATGCAGTATTTCATGAAAAGAAGAAGAAAAAGATGTGAAATTCAAGTTTCCTAATACATCTTTGGCTAGAATCAGCAGTTTTATTGGAGTTTTATGTGCGACACAGAAGCAAACAAAGCACTTTTAAAAATATGCTCCTTTTATTTCTGTGGCTTTTTCCACAATAACACACAAGAAATCACTTCCATACACAACTTCTTAGCCTTTTTTTTTTTGGAACACAACAGCAAGACAGAGAGGGGAGGGGGTTGGAAGCAACATTTCAAGTAATAAAAATGGGATCATAAAACCTGAATGGATTAAAAAAATAATTATCTGGGGGTGCGGGGGGGATGAAAGGCAGCAGTTCACAGAATTTACCTGTTGCCCAATAAAGAGACTTACTGAAACTTAAATTGCTTGTAAAGAGAAATGTGAGCCATCATATCGAAAAGAAGATTAAGTCTAAAACCGTTGTGTGGCAAATATAATTTTGATTAAAACGTTTGCAAAAACATCGTCTTAATACACCAGATAAATGTGTTATCAATGTTTCATTTGAATGAACTCTGAAATATAATCCTAAAAAAACTTTTTTGAACAGTTGCAACAAAAAAAAAAAAAACAAATTTGAGGAAAAATGCCTTAAAATGTTGAGATTTTCCCTGTGAGATTTTCCAAACTGGGAAATCTCAATATTCAAATACTATTTGAGGTTTCTTCTTTAAAATGACATAAAAATTCATCATTAAAATGACATAAAATAAGGATTTATACCAAATATTTATATATCATCATAACCAACAAGACAATTTAAATCATATCTCTGGATCCACTCATGATGATCCAAGTATCAAAATGTAGCTTTTAAAGCCAGGAATCTGAAAATGTGATTAGGTCATTTTGACCAAATTTGACTCTCGTTTCGATGGGTTGGGTCACAAAAACAAATTTTAAAGAAACACAAATGGTTCAGCTTGATTTGTCTCGCACACAAACACACACAAAAAAGGTCTGGACTTCTCATTTCTGGTTTTTAGAGTACAAGATATGCAACGCTTCCAGTTCGACCATTAGTGCAACAAACAGGCTGGATGAGTCTCCAAAGTAACTGCAGCTTTTTAATGTCTGTTCAGCAGCAGCAAGTGAAAATCTCAGTTTAACAACTTAAACAGTTCATTGACAGAGGAGGAAATTATTGCATTCGATTGTTTTCAATACAGAATAAAAAAAAATCTGATTTTACAAGGTGCTTTTTATAATCTTGCAACAACAACAATTAAAAACAGAATTTGTGAAAACACACTATCATGTGAAACATCACACACCTTTTGATTTTGGTATAAAAACATATTTGTTACGATCATGTGACTTTTAAAAACAGCTCTGGTGAAGTTTACCCTGATTCCCTGATTAAACATCTCTGTTCGTAMGAACATCTAAATAAAACATTCAACGCTGTAACATCTTTCTGCAAACATGCACAATTTTTAATTTTATGTTGGTTTTTTTTGGCCTTTCAGGTCAAATAAAAGCTAAATTTACACACAATAATACAAGTTTGGATGAAAACACTAAAGCAGCCAAGCATATGTAGAGTGCAGACATTTAAAAAAATAAAATCCAACGGTGGACGGCGTGTGGTGGAGGGACTGGAGAGGTTCTCCTCAGACCAGGTGGTGCTGGTTCAGTTTTCTGTTGGGATGGCGGTGAACTCGATTGTGTCAGAGTTCTGAAATTGTAAAGAAAAATGACAAAGTGTTAATATGAAGAAGTGGAAGAGATGAAACGTGTTTCAGCATTTCTTCACACACATTAGTCTTGTACAAAGGCTCAGGATTCACCACGGACTGGGAGCATGCACCTAAAATGTGATTAGGCTTCATCTGACGTGGATTTTATGAATAACAGTCCTGAATGACTGTACTGGTTTCAATTTTAAGATTAATTTAGTCATCAGAAGTTGTTTTTCATTATTAACTTCTTCTAAAAAGGAGCTTTTATTGTTGTACCTTTCTGTTTAATATAATTAAAAGCAACAAATCGTCACATTTGCGACACCAACTATAAAATATCAACCTTACTGACCAAGTTTTTTCTGATTAGYTTTTCTTTTCAGGGCTGCATGGTTAACAATGTCACCACCATGAAAACCTGATGGACACTTTAAAYCAGATTATAAAGAATTAAAATACAACCCCAATTCCAATGAAGTTGGGACTTGGTGTAAAACAAATAAAAACAGAATACGATGACTTGCAAATACTTTTCAACCTATAAGTAACTGAATAAACTACAAAGACCTGATACTTCATGTTAAACTGTTGGGACTGTTTGATCATGCAGTTGCTAAAGTGGTGAACGTCTATCAATGCTTGTGAATGACTGAGCCTTTCGAGGATGCTCCCTTTATACCCACCCGTTCACCAGTGGAAAGCTCCAAACAAGTGYTTTTTGAGCATTTCTCAACATCTTTTGTTGCCCCTGTCCCAGATTTTTTGGAACGCGTTGCAGGCATCAAATTCAAAATGAGCGAAAATTAAAAACAAAGTTTGAATATTAAGTATCTTTGTTGAAAATCATCTGATTCTGTTTTTATCTATGTTTTACACAACGGTCCACCTTCACTGGAATTGGGGTTGCAGTTGTTTTAACAACAACAACAAAAAAAGCAAAAGTAGTTTCACCAAGCAGCTAAATCACCCAGACTGCCATTTTAAAATACCTTAAATACATTTCTTTGACAATAACACTGTGTTTCAATTCCAACACCCAAAAGCTATTAGTTCCTGTGTGCTGATTCATTCCACGTGACAAACTCTCAGTTAGGCCGACTGATGCACRTAGATGTCCATATTTTGACAAGTGAAACACGTGTTCAAAAACATGCATGTTAGGCTGCCTTCAGGCGCAGGCTTCCTTTGTAAAGAGACCTGTGTTGTCAGAGTTTGCCCGGTTAAATAGGAATAAAGTAAATTAATAAAGATGCTTTATGTCAACGTTTAACAACTAGGTAAAATTAGCAGGTGAAAACAATACGTATTTATGGAAAAAGTGGAGAGATTAGCTGATGCACCCAAAAGAAAGCAGAGCTAAGGCAGCCATGCTCAGGGGGATTAAAGGTTCACTACATCTCATTTACCTCATCATCATCATCATATTCATCATACTCATTAAATTCACCAAATACTGTCTGCAATTAAACAAGACACGTGATTAGGAGGCAGAATGAAAGCCAACATGAATTTAAAAAATGGGAATGAGTTATTACCATAGATTTGGTGCCTTTGAGCTGGACTAAAAACATCACCACTTCCTTTCTGCCGGCAGCCTCAGCCTGTGACGGATAAAAGRAGAGCCATATTTGATTTTGTAACCTGACGGTTGTTTTCAATGCAGAACAAGTCTTCCTCAAACCCACCACTTGATCTGCCGTCTTTCCATCGTAGCCTGGCTTATTCAGATCCGCCCCGGCCAGGATCCAGATTTCCAAGCCATCTATGTCACCGCTGGCTGCCAGGCTGATACACAAAATATATATATATTTT